CCTCAAGCCATATACGCATCCAGCTGAGTTCTTCCCAATATTAAGGAACATGTTTTTGGACTATACTCAGACCAGCTTGCTCAGACATATTTAGCCATTCAGCAACCCAGCTGTACAGCAGAGCTGGGAGGATCCTCATTATGATTAGAAGTGACAACAAGTTTATAGCCAGCTACAGCGGCACAGTTTGACAATCTAAGTTATCAATACCGCTCTGACTGTGACAGAGCTACTAAAGTCCTTTTTAAAATCCTAACGAACCCTGAACACAATCGGGACTGGCATGCACAAACGGAAAAGCTCTGACTCTGCCTATCAATCCTAGTCACTGTTTGCCCTAGGACAGAAGCACCGGCAGCGCTTGCCAAGTTTCCTGGCAAGCGAGACCAGATGCTGTATCATGCCATAAGAATGCAGCACTAAGAGCAACTGCAGCCTCCTGTCTGACAGCGGCCTACAGCACATGTCGAGGGAAGGGGAGGATGAATGTGGCTACTTCCCCAGCAGATTCTCCCAGGCTCCAACAATTTGCAGATCAGGACTTCCTGAGGCAGAAGCTGTAATTCCCTATTTAACAGTCCTTAATGGATTTTTCTCCCATGAATTTTCCCAGTCATTTTTGAACCCACATAAGCCCTCCTCTGACATCCCAGAAAAAAGGAGTTCCTCTTCATGCGCTGTGAAAGCCACTTCTTTTCTTTCTCTTTCAATCTGCTCTCTTCCTTTGGCTCACCCTAATTCTGTTACTGGAAGGGAGAGTTGACAGCCGAGACCTGTTCATCTTCTTCACATCATATATGATTTTAGAGACCTCTATTCTATCTCTTTTCCAGGCTGAAGAGAGTTGTTTCTCATACAGACACTGTTCCACCTTTGCTCACCCTTCCTCTGTATCCTGCCAAGTTCTCCTGTAGCCTTTGGAGATGAGGAGACCAGAACTGCAAACTGTATTTGAGGCATGAGTGTGCTGTGTGATATTCTCCATTTTGGCTTTTATTCCTTTCCTTATTATACCTAACAGCCAATTTGCTTTTTTGACCACTGCCAAACACAGAACAGGCTTTTTAATGGAACATCTCAATCATAACCCCAAGGTTTCACTCCCAAGCAGAAAAAATCAGCTCACAGTAACGAATTTTATAGGCAAAGTTCAGACTGTTATTCCTCCCTTTCAATTATCATCCTTTTATACTGATAGCCCTGCAGTTTCTCACAGCTCGCTCTTATCTTCCCTACCCTGAGCTGCTAACTATCATTAGCAACTGTGCCAAATGACAGTCTCTTGCCTTTTCCAGATCATCTACAAATATGTTTTACAGGGCCTACCCAAGTACTGATACCGGCTGAACTTCACTGGTGATCTCGTCATTCTACTGTAAAACTAAGCGTTTATTCCTAACCTATCTTTTAACCAATTACTTACTCAGTTATTTAATAATACTTCATTTTCCCACACCTCCCTTCTTCCTTCCCTACAAAAAAAACAAGATTAGTTTTCAGCCCTAACTCCATTCCGATCTGCTGTGCAGTCACGTCAACGCTGGGCCACACATGTGAGAGGAGAGCATGGGGACAGCAACTGAGCAGTCACAGGCAGCGGAGGGAAGGACAGCTTCTTTGGGCGCGGGGGAGAGGAGAAGCAGACTGCTTCTTTTCCAGTAAAAACCCTTATTCAAAAAGGAAGACAAGTTTCCCCACCGTATAAGCTCACACGATCCCCTCACCCCACGGCCACACCCTGGTGAGATCCAGTACTAGCGGCATGAGTAAAACTGGCAGTTGCTGAGAGACACCATCCCAGGTTGGAGTGGACTGCAGAAACTCCAGGTGACACTACACAGCACCTCAGAGCTAACAGACAACTCACCACAATCAGACGAGGGAGATCTGCTTCTGCTTTCCCAGCTGCAGAAGTCCCTTGCACCAGCCCTGGAGCTTCCTGAAGCTTCCCGGAGCACATGCCACCTGCTAACCCAGCAGAAGACTAGTGTGGCAGAAACAAATTGAGCATGTAGAGGCAAGATGGACAGGAGCCAGAGCTCCAGTGCAAAGGGAAGAGGGTAAGGAGGAAGGCATGCATGCACACATCGGGGAGCAGAAAGGAAGAAAGGGCCTCATTCTTGCAACAGCACCGCGATACCATTAGATCAGTCTGAGCTATAGGTGCAGGTTCATCCTCAAGCTGCTGCAACAACATTGCTATCCAAGCAAGGCAGGTTAAACGCAGAAAAACGGAAGCTAATCAAGAGATCACTATGTGAATGCTAAAAACTCTGCAAATTCTAAGTACAAGACCACTGATACATGATAAATATACAATGACCCCAGGGTTCAACTGCAATATGCAGCTTGCCATCATAGACAAGAAAAAAGGTAAGAGGAGGGCTCAAGAAAAAGTCCCGTCTCTGATGTAGGGCCTGCTTGGGGGCACAGGCAGTTCTGGCAGACACCACTGAGCACGCACCTCCTACTTGATACAGACACCAAGAGCAGAAGGTAGACATGCACTCACACTTTCAAGACAGTCTTGACTCGCTTAAGGTATTAGGTTTGTTGGTATCTCCTGCCAGGCAAAAAATGCCTTAGCACACCAAGTATAAAAATGCCAGTGTCATTTTTTTCACGTACCCAAAGGAATGGAGCAACTACACCCATTTAATAGCAAGCAAACAAAAATAACTTTGACCTCTTTCAAATAAAGAATTATGACTTTGCCTAAGAACAGGAGGAAGGACTCTTTAATAAAGTCCACTACACAAAATAAGAAAGCTTTTAAAGCCTTCACATTTTCTGCCCGTTTTCTGCACATGCCAAAGGAGGGAGCCAATCCCACATTTAAGATAAGCATCAGATGGGATGGATGCCATGAGACCCTAATAGTTTCTACAGAAGATATAACCCTTCTCTCCATACTGACCTTCCGGTACAGATGACCTTCAGAAATACAGACAGTACTGTCAGCATGATAGAAAGCACAAGATAACAGACTAGTAGTGAAATTCTTTAAAGTTAAAAAAAAAAAAAACCCACCTTTCCCTCCTATGTACACAAAGAACAAAATTATGGTGAAAGGTCCAAACTTTGTATTTGCCTTGCCTTTGGAAAAAAAAAAACAACAATTTAACAGTATTTACAGTTCAGAGTGCAGGATCTTTTATTTTTCCACAGCAGACAAAAACTCACTCATGTTTTATCAGATTAATTTCTCAATCAACTAGATCTCTGTTCATTACAATTGGAGCATGAGCACCCCAGGATATGGTTGGATTCATCTCTCCTAAAAGGCAAGTTCCTAACAAAACAATACTGCAGAGTTCTCCATAGGCAAATCAGAGTAGAAGCAAATCCTTTTTCTGTATCAATGAACTGATATGAAAACATCTAAAGGCCCTCTCTAGTCTGAAACTCCCCAAGCACTGGCATGCTTCGCTTTATGAAAACGAAGCTATCTGTGCCTCACAACAGCCCACCAGTCTCTGGAGGTCTCCCTCATCTGCAGGCACGTGTCTTGCCAACACGGCTCGAGTCCTCTGCAACTACAGTTCTTATGTCCCCTTTTCAGACTGTAGGAGTTCCATACTTCCATAGCTTTTCACAGTATCATCCCTGATCCGTTCACATATGCTGAATGGATGATAAAAACAAGTTGTCGTTAACCTTTAGAGACCCACCATGGACAGATGAGCATCGGAGAGGAGATGCACGCTCCAAAAGAGCCATTTTTGCAATCCAACGACTCTGGCAAACATGCACTATTATTTCAAGATTTTCCCCACAATTGCAGCAGTAAGCAGCAGACTTTATGCATTTTAAACTGAAGTAAGACTTCTGAGAACAACCAGAAGTATTTAAGGAGAGTATTTAGGCAAAGAATTCATTCTGAAAGGAGTACTGAGGGTAAGAATGCCTCTTAAAGCTACAGCAGCTAAAAGAAAATTAATGCTGTTCATTCAGCTTAAATTTTCAGGACACACGTTTGTTAGTAACTTCAATGAAGTACTGACAAAAAAGTAGCCAAAGATGGCAGCTAACCAATATATACTATTGGGATTACAGGCTACACAGTTACCTTTACCTCTGATCATCATCTCTGCCAAACTGTAATTGCAACGAATTCTTCTCTCGCCTGACTGCACAACGGCTGTCAACGGTGACTAATGTCATAGACAGCAAGTTGTCAAAGTATGAAGGCTAGCAAATAACACTACGAGAAATCAGTTAAAGAAATCTGCCTATGTTAACTTTGCCGCATTGAGCTGTGTTCAGAGGTCCAAGCCTCCTTGGCTGGGAATGTAATAGCTTCAGCCAGGAGGCCTCATATTATTTAGTTCTTCCTCACATTTCAGCAATCCCCAGAAACCCCTTAAGCCATGATCTGTGCATAAGCAAAACAGGAACACACAAATCCCGAATCCATGAATATTAAAATGTTAATATTGTAACACATGGACTTCTGTTGACTACATGCTGAGTCTACTTCCTGGATTCGCCTTTAAACAATATCAGCTTCATGTAGAAAGCTAAGTGAATAGACGGTTTGCACAGTTTTAAACCCAGGGTGTGAATTTAAAGCAGCTGCTATATATAATAAAATATAATAAAAATAGTCTTTTATTTTGTGACTGTGAGGAATCCATGAACTTGCACTGAGCCCTACTAATTTATGACAGTTTTCAACAGACCAAACAGAATTTCAGTTTTCCC